GACAAAGGATTAATATCCAGAATATACAAGAAACTGAAACAACTTTACAACAAAAAAAGAAGTAACTCAATTAAAAAATGAGCCAAAGAGCTAAATAGGCATTTCTCAAAGGAAGATATATGAATGGCCAACAGACACATGAAAAAATGCTCAACATCACTCAGCATTTGGAAAATGCAAATCACACTGAGATACCATCTCACCCCAGTTAGGATGGCTAATATCCAAAAAACTGTGAATGAGAAATGCTGCCAACGTTGCAGAGAAAAACGAACTCTCATACATTGTTGGTGGGACTGCAAAATGGTGCAGCCTCTATGGAAAATGGTATGGGGGTTCCTCAAACAATTGCAGATCGATCTACCATATGACCCAGCTATCCCACTGCTGGGAATATACCCAGAGGAATGGAAAACAAAAGTGGTATTTTATTATTTACCACACAGTAAATTACCAGGTATATAATTGAGTTAGGTAAATGAATCAGATTTTTAGTCTGTGGTAAATCTGAGAAAAGAATTTCTGTCTTCAAACTCTCAGTTCAATCTTAAACTTCTTAGTGTGCATCGTGAATCTCCCTTATATATGACTTATCTTCTGACAGGAGAGGGCAAGAAGCTATCTTATAAGCCTAATTGTAAGGACATATTAATATTTTAAAAGAGAAATACTGGGGTAGTTTTATTATTTAGCATATAGAAATTCATTAGAAGAATTAAATGAAATATTCTTCTAATACCACTGGAATGAATCTACTCAACCAGCAATACAACAAGAATTAAGAAAAGCAATAATAAATTGAAGTAACATAATACCTCAATTGTCAAGACAAAATTGGTGAGGGTAAAATTAATAAGAATTGTTTTGCTGAACAAGTAAGACATCTTTCAGTTATACTTTAAGAAAGTGAAAAGCCACCAATTTTTAAAATATTAGGCAGAAGTTTTTTAATTCAGGGAACAAACAGTAGTAGGCATTCTGGAAAAACTGGTAATGCCAAGGATTTAAGAGCAAAAAGCCCACATTTTCCTCCTTCCTATTAATTGAGAACTTCCCCAGGAAACATCACAGTTTGTCCTCTGAGAAGAAAGACTAGATGCAATTCTGACTTCCAAGTGTGCCACTGACTCAACTGTGTGGTATGAAGCATGAAACACATCACCAGACTGGACCTCAGTTTTCACATCTGTAAAAGTGGAAAATACTCATGTATGTCAAAAGGATATGTAAATTATCTAATGAATGATTATATAAAGCGTTGAACACATAAAACTCTATATAAATGCTATTCGGTATTACTAATTTAGATGAAAAACAGGCATCAGAGGAAAACAGTAATTAAACGCCAATAAAGGTAAGCAGCTCAGCAGAAAAACAAACTGACTTTTGGAGTTAGGCGCCAGAGATTCTATCGCACAGAGGAGTTGTAAAGAACAAAATGGTATAAAGGAAACAGAGTGCCATGTTCTGCTAGAGTCTCCAAAGCATGAAAAGAATCAGATGTTTCTGTAACTTATTCTTATCTATCTTTAGCTGGAATCACTTTGAAGATAAAATAGTTTCCAAAATTAAACACCCAGTAAATAGAACTAAGAATTTATACATATGTTTATGTTCATATACATGTACACATATACACATAGTATGAAAACATATATTCACATTCAGTGCATTCTCTCTCTCTCTCTCAAATATCAATAGCCCATTAAGTAAAATGTAGTGTAATGAGAATGGAATGTTGAGGTAATTAAAGGAATTTGAATAATTCTTTAAAAATGCTTTATATGTAGTGTTTAACTTTTCAAGAATAAATATTCTATAATTAAATAGCAAAAACAACCATATAACATAGAACAAAAGGTAAGTGGATAAACTGGTTTATAGAGCAACTCTGCTGTATAAACAAGATGTCAGTTTATCACAAACAACAGACTCCACAGATAATATTTCTGTCATTAGAATATCCGGGTATTAAAAAAAAACCCCAAAAACAAAACAAAAAACAAACAAAAACAAGAAACAAATGAATATCCGGGTATATATTTTCAAAGTCTTAATCTTCTTTTTAATCTACTCAAGCCACAAGGGAGATCACCTTCTACATGTAGATCTCTAAAACTGAATACGATGATGATTATATTCACTGTTCTTCTAGTACATATGTAATTACTCAACAGAAGTTTAGTCTTTGTAAGACATATTTCATAACAGTGGAAATTTACCTTTAAAAAAGTTTCTATGAGTGACTCATAAAGCAACTATGAAACAAATCTCCTTGTAAGTACATCAATCTTGAATAGTATATTACACCCATAATTGTTCAATTCACTGTTAATTATTACTTAGAAATTCATGTTTATGGCTCTGTTTCACCGGCTATATGAAAACAAATTCCTGATATATTGTTTCTTAACTTCCTGGATCAATATACTCTGGCTTAGCCTTGTAAGAGAAGTTGACAATGTAGTCTTTTCTTCTTTAACTACTAGTTAAGAATAAACCAAGAACTGACAACAGGGAAGGAAAATTTATGCTAATTATTCTCTTTTCATGCTTCCTTCAGTTCTGAAGTAGAGATCAAACTATATTACCCAGACTATCTTTAGTGGCTTGGTGGAGAAGAGTTAACAGTACTGTTTAGAATGAACTATTATTTTAACGATAGGGGAATTTAAAGCGGTTAATAGTGACATCTCAAATGTTAGCTTTTGACATGTTTATAACGATTTCTTTTAGTGCATACTTACTTGAATCTTTCTAGAAATTGAATATACTTGTGTAAATAGCTATATTTGCAAGGGGTGAGGGTGATATCATGGTATTGTTTAATTTTCCAATAAATTTATTCAGTTTATATATTCAATAATAAAATTATTCAGTTCTTTAAAGAGATTTTATTGTATAAGCTAGAAAAACATTTTAAAAATAATCAATTGATGTAAATATTTTTATAATTAAAATCAACGCCCACCAAAGGGGAATTGGAATTTTCAAGAACATAGTAATTTAATAACTTTTTTGGATGGCCATCTAGTGTTTAAATTTCAAATTAATAAAGGGAGGGGAAGAAACACTTACTGAGTTTCTCCTATGTGCCAGAAGCTTTATATGTGTTCGTTCACTTAATTTTTACAACTATTCCTTGAGGTTCAAATTAATATCTGTATTTTACAGAACACTTACCATGAGAAAAGAAACCAGGTTGATGTGTATTCAAAGCCCAGAATAATTCCACTATAGGATTTGAAATGCTATTGGCTAAGAGTAAGAGTGAAGAACTGTGGATGTTAGAACTGTGATCTGTCCCACTATATCTGACTTGTTGGCTGAGCTGACTTTTTTATGGCATCACAACACATGATTTCATTCACGTAAGCAGGGAACACCAATGGTAGCATCTCAAATGCCATAATTAAATTACTAAAAGCACCTTAATTTTTCATATTAGAAGGTAGTTGCTTCAATAAGAGCAAGATTTCAAATACTGTGAAATATCAGTTCCGAAAGTTACCATACAATAAATTTATAAAACAAAGACAGTGACAAATAACTCAGATATTTAGTACAAAATTTTTTTGGTAGTTAATTCCATAACTGTTATGATTAGCTCTTATGATTACTGTTCCTATTATTAAGGGAGTCTTACTTTTTTTGTCCAAATTCAACATATTATGAAAAATGTTATTGCTAATTTTAAAGATAATTTTCAATATAAAATCTGTTAAATGTCAAATAAATACTAATACTAGCAAACATTCATTGAGCATTTATCATATTTAAGCACTATGCTATGTATATTAGAAGATTATATCATTTAAACCTCAGAACAACCGTACCAATTGGGTGCTGTTAGGCTGTTAGTACCACTCACATTTCACATATGAGGAAACTGGCCGTGCTGTCCAATACCTTAGCTATTAGCCACAGTGGCAACTAAAGTCAAAATTAATTTAATTTAAATAAAATTAAAAAATTTAGTTCCTCAGTAACACTAGCTACATTTCAAATGTTCCTCAACTACAGATAGCTCGCTAGTGGTTACCACGCTGGACAGTACAGATATAGAATATTTTTATCATTACAGAAATTCCTATCAGACAATGGAGGTTTAGAGAATCTAAATGTACTTGCCACAATTCAAAACTAAGTACTAAGTTGCATTTGAACCTATGCCACCTACCTATGGAGCCTGTACTCCCTTTTCAAATCTTTTTTTTTTCAAATAACTTGGTTATAAATAATTTTGCTAGAAAGTGAAAATATAAGAAATCCCCACTTATCTGTCACCCAGCTTCAATAATTATCAACTCATTAAAGTCCTATTTTAACTACTGTGATATACTATTGTTTTTGTTTCTCTTCCTTAATTATATTAGTTAATGAAGAATCACCCCTTCTTCAGAGTACAACATAGGGAGGCAGTATAACATAATGGTTAAGAGTATAGAATTAAAAAGCAGACAGATATGAATTCAAAGTTTGGCTCTACCACAAAGCTGTATGTTCTTTGAAGACAAGCTGATTAATTACTCTAGGGCTGAATTTGTCATCTTTATAACTTTCTCCTACAGCTAGCTATTATTTTTCTCTATATTAAATGTATTCAGCTACCTTAATTCTTAGTACACTTTATTTAAATTGTCTTCACCCACATTCACAACCCACATTTACAACCTACATTCATGTATGACAGCATTATGCTTACAATGTCTTTATTATTCAAATAAAAGATTGGTAGATGGTTTACCTGACATCTTTCTCAAGTTGTGCAATACATCCTGTCAGTGAATCAATCTTTGAATCTCTCTGACGCACCGATTCAATGAGATATCGGTAAGGTTGTTGAGTCTGGTTTAATAGAGAATTGGCCCTGTCAAGCTAAAAAAACAGGTTTCATTAAAGTCAAAAAAATTGGACAACAAATTAAAATCACTAGCAAAAATATAGTACATCAATCCCTTTTACATGAATTATTCTGGAATCTTTTCCTGTCTGAATTTGCAGGTTTTAAAAATGATTAATCAATAGTGAGTCTTAATAATGATTATAAACAGAAAAGAAAATATATTAAAAATTTCAATTTAATTTTTTTTTGGCAGCTGGCCAGTATGGAGATCCAAACTACTGACCTCAGTGTTACCAGGACCACACTCTAACCAACTGAGCTAACTGGCCAGCCTCGCCCCACCCCCCCAAATCTAAACAAAATATTAAAAATTTGAAAATGAGTCACCTAAATTTTCTTATTATTTGTTTGAGAAGCTATGTGACACAAAATATATCTTCTTTTAATGAAAACCCATAAGCTAAAATTTAAAATCTTTTGAGCTTAATTTCTACTCAAAATAATCACACCATAATTAATGTTTTAATTTCTTTATTTTCCTTCTTTGTTTTTAAAATAATTTCTGTATCTGAATCACTAAGTATAATTAAAATTTTTAAAAACTGTGGTTGAAATATAAATAAAATTTACCATTTTAACCATCTTAAAGTGTACGATTCAGTGGCATCCACAATGTTGTGTAACCATTGCTACTATCTATTTCCAGAATACTTTCATCAGCCCAAACAGAAACTCTGTACCTATTAAGCAATAACTTCCTATTTCCTCCTTCCTGCAGGCTCTGGAAACCTCTAGCTTACTTCCTGTATCTACAAATGGCCGATTCTAGGTACCACATATAAGTGGACTCATACAGTAGTTGTCCTTTTGTGTCGTTTATTTCACTTAGCATAATATTTTTAAAGCTCATCATCCATGTTGTATCATGCATTAAAAGTTCATTTTTTTAATGGCTAAATGATATTCCATTGTATGTTTATAGCACATTTTGTTCACCCATTCATCTTCTGATGGACACTTGGGCTGTTTCAACTTTTTGGCTATTGTGAATAAATGCTGCTATGAACATTGGTGCACAGATATCTGTTTGAGTCCCTGTTTTCAATGGTAATTCCACATTTAACTTTTTGAGGAACTGCCAACTGTTTTCTCCAGCAGCTACATTATTTTACATTTTTTTTTTTTTTTGTCTTTTTTCGTGTCCGGCAACGGATTGCAACCCTCAGTGTCACGCCTGTACCAGACCGGGACCGGCAACGGGATCGCAACCCTCGGTGTTGCGCCTGCACCTCGCTCAGCCAGTGAGCGGGAACCGGTCTGCATGTGGGATCCGAACCCTCGGTGGGAGCGCCGCCGCGCTCCCAAGCGGCGCACTGAAGCAGTGCGCCACGGGGCCGGCCCTTATTTTACATTTCTATCAGCAATGCACTTGGTTCCAATTTTTCCACATCCTGGACAAGACTTATTTCATGTGCATATTGGCAGTTTGTATATCTTCTTTGGAGAAATATCTACTCAAGTCTTTTGCCCATATTTTGTTTTTTGTTGCTGTTGAGCTGTAGAAGTTCCTTATATATTCTGCATAATAAACCCTTCTTAGATATATAATTTGCAAGTATTTTCTTCCCTTTTGTAGGTTGTATCTTCATTTTCTTGATAATGTCCTTTGATGCACAAATTTTTATATTTATCTATTTTTTTGGGTGACAGTCATTTTGAAGAAACCATTGCCAAATCCAAGGTCATGAAAACTTTTTTCTGTTTTGTCCTATGAGTTTTATACCTTTAAGATCTTAAATTTATGTCTTTGATCTATTTTTTTTTTTTTTTTTTAAAAAGATGACCGGTAAGGGGATCTTAACCCTTGACTTGGTGTTGTCAGCACCACGCTCAGCCAGTGAGCGAACCGGCCATCCCTATATGGGATCCGAACCCGGGGCCTTGGTTTTATCAGCACCGCACTCTCCCGAGTGAGCCACGGGCCGGCCCATCTTTGATCTATTTTGAGTTAGTTTTTGTATATGGTGTAAGATCAAGGTGTAACTTCATTCTTTTGCGTGTAGATATCCAGTTTTACCAACCCCATTTGTGGAAAATACTGTTGATCTATTTTGAGTTAGTTTTTGTATATGGTGTAAGATCAAGGTCTAACTTCATTCTTTTGCGTGTAGATATCCAGTTTTACCAACCCCATTTGTGGAAAATACTGTTGTTTCCCCACTGAATGGTATTGGTGCCCACGGAAAACCATTTACCATATATATGAGTGTTTATTTCTGGGCTCTCTACTGTATTTCATTGTTCTATATGTCTATCCTTATGCTAGTAGCACACTGTTTTGATGACTGTAGCTTTGTAGTAAGTTTTAAAATCTGGAAGTATGAGTTTTCCAACTTTGTTTTTCCTTTTGAAGATTGTTTTGGCCATTGAGAGTCCCTTGAAATTCCATATGAATTTTCAGATGGGTTTTTCTATTTCTGTAAAAAACGCCACTGGGATTTTGATAGGTGTTACACTTAATATGTAGATTGTTTTGGGTAGTATTGCCACCTTAACAATATTAAGTCTTCTAGTCCATGAACACAGAATGTCTTTTTGTCTGTTTGGCTAAAGTTATTCCTAAGTATTTTACTCTTTTTGATCCTATTGTAAATGAAATTGTTTCCTTAATTTCCTTTTCAGACTGTTCATTGCTAGTGTACTATGTACAATTTTATATTAGTCTTTTTCTCATAAACTTATATCTGAATCATTTTTCCAGATTGTTAGAGTACTTGAATATATATTATTAGTGGCCATAAAACTGTCTAGCATGCCAACTTATCATAATTTAATTACATAGCTTATAGTAATAGACATTTAGTATGTTATCAATTTCTGACTATTATAAATAATGCTATAACAAAACGTTCCTGTACTGTATTTTTTTTAAGTTAATATTTTCTTTGTTAAAATTTTTCAGAATAGAAGATACATTAGGTTAAGGGTTATGACTATTTAATGTTCTTGAAATATAAGACCAAAGTTGTTTCCTAAAGGATTTTATCAACTTTATATAACCACTCAATTTTAGGGTTTTATTTGTTTTGCTTTTTGTCCCTAAGCAAATGTAAAATTAAAATGTATGTCACTACAGGACTACATTGCAGCATTATCAGTGTCAGCAGGTCCATACTTTGGTGCATAATGAGATTTTGAAAAAGGTATTCCAAAGTTGAACATGAAAAACTGAATAATCACAACAAAACTGGTGGACATCTATTTAAGGGTAAGGGGGTGAGGAGGAGGGCATTTTATCAGACAGAACAAAATTATAAAATTCCTAACTACTCTATGACTTTTAGATGCTATCTGACAAATTTTTAGCCTTTTATATATGTTTAAAAATTTTCCCCCTCTTTCCTTCACAATTGCTAACAAGTTCAATTGAGGCTAAAGATCTGCTATTTTTCAGGGACAATAAATGTTTTGTGTTTTTTTAAATGAGTTACATTTATGAGATCTATATATTTTTTGAAAATTAAGCCTTAAACAATTTATTTTAGCCTTTCGATTTTTGGTTTCCCACTCATTTTAATAAAACAATGAGTGATTACCAGCCCAAGAGCTGAAGGAGCAAAGAACAGTGGGATGAATATGGTGGGAGGTACAGGGGGAGGTGGAAAGAATCAAGGGCAATAGTGAGAACTTTTTGAAAATGCTCAATCATAAGATCTGGGTAGGTAAGGAGGAGAGCAAAGCCAAAAGGGGGCTGAACAACTGTTAGAGAATGTCTGCTTGAAGTTAGAGGACTATTTTGTAAAAGGATCGAAATTATTCATCTAAATTATATTAAAATTTTTTCTTATGGTTATATTAACTATAGTCCCAGAAAAAATTCCCTAAAGAAAAGAAAATAAATAGTGAAAGAAAACTTCTTTTTTTTTTGGACACAATTCATAACAGTGAAAGCAGGGCCATAAAGAAAATAATACCATAAATATTTTCTATAGTTTGGGTTTTAGTGTGCTTTTTCTTTGCTTTGGTAATCATTTCTTAAAATCTATTGCAATGTCACTGGAATCTTATTATTTTACTAAGTTACTTTACCAACATTCAAAAGTGCAGCTGGACAGAAATAAAACTAAATTCTACTAACCTGTATAACCAGTTTCTCTAGTCAATTAAATCAAACAATTGCCTTGACTTTGTTTTCACGGAACTGACCCTAACTGAATAAACTGAACTGACAAGTTGCTTTGTGTTTCAAAATGCAGAACAGTCCACATATGTGCGTGTGGGGTGGAGTTGGGGGAAAGGGTGGCAAGGAAAGACTAAGAGCATTTACAAATTATAATTAGCTTCAGTCTAGAATGAGCTGTTTAAAACTTGACCAAATCTAATTTTAATTGCACAAATAATATCTCATAATAGCAGCCAATCTTAATTATTGTGGTTCAATTTTTCCATGACAGCAGTTACATACATTAGGTTTTAATGTTATTAAAAAAAAAATTCCTAGAATGAGCTGTTTAAAACTTAACCAAATCTAATTTTAATTGCACAAATAATATCTCATAATAGCAGCCAATCTTAATTATTGTAGTTCAATTTTTCCATGACAGCAGTTACATACATTAGGTTTTAATGTTATTAAAAAAAAAATTAAGGGCCAAAAGCCTTGCTTTCAAAACGTATCTGATATATAACCTATAACCTCCTTACTCTCCAGATAATAAAAATTATGATAGTGCTGTCAGTTTTAAGCATTTATTCCTTTACAAACTTGTTTGTAGGCTTCTAAAACCTCTAAATTTATTTTCATTCCTCAGGTAAAAAGTGCATTTCTCTTAATGAAAAGAGATACTAATTTCTATTTCTGAAATAAATGTAATTGAATAGAGTCTAATTTAATTCTTCCACTGGTTTTAAAAAATCTTTCTGTAACTATAATAATCGGTATTCAAAAAGTTTCACAATCCCGCACTTTGCCTTTTGTTAGTAATCTGTTCCTTATAGGAAAGCCTTAGTAATTAGTGACTCAGGAATCATA